TCTGTCGGTGTAATACTTCTTTTTTTTCTCTTAATCTATGTTTATTTATTTCTTAACTAATTTCTTTTTCTTTTTACCAGCGTAATTTGTGTGTATCGTTTCATGAGTGCTAATTTCTTTTCTTTTCTTATATTAGTTTGTATTTTTGATAAATGAAGTTTACATTTTGATTCCTGATTGTGTTCAAATTTGGTCAAAGTCAAAGCTAGTTAAAGAGTAATATTTTAATACTATTACAAAGCTGATAACCAACGTTTCGCTTTGGCTGTAAAGCTTTATTTATTACAACCTATCGTGATAAAGCCTTCGACACAAAGCGAAATAGCAGTCTGCTTTAACCAGCTTTGTCTTTACACTACAATTTGATAAATAAATTTAATTTGTAGTCATGCTTGCGTACTTCATAGGTAATAAGTAATAATAATGCATAATCCAAAATGTTATAGTTGATGATTATTGAAACGTAGTAGTTGTTCAGTTGAGAGATGACGAGCTAGAAACAAAAAAGTAAATTCTTTATGTATTTATTCATCACTGCACCTCCTTCCGCACTGTCTGTCTGTCTGGGTGTACCTGTGTTTGCATATACATACCTATACCTATTGCACATGTTTATGGTACTCATAAAAAGTAAGGAAATCCGCAGCAATGGTAATAAATTTAAATTAAAATTAGAACGAATGAAGAAAAAACAATGCATAGGTAGCGTAATTAACATAATAAAATCAGTGATTAAAAACAGTGACAGTTCCAAACAAAAACTTGAACAAAGAGCGTTAAAAGTGCGCCATTTATTTAAATACAGTTTGGTAATAGAATGCGTAAGTCTCTAAATAAAGAAGGATTATATGGGAAAATTGTGGCTAATTTTTAAATCCACCTGAGACGTAGTATAAGTGTTTAAACCTTTCACAGGCTAGCGAAAACGTACGGTTTTCAACAAAATGATGACATAATCCAAATTAAAACTGTTAATCTCTAAATCCGTCAGTCCTGAGAGTGATTGAATACACCTCTCCACTCTGTCTTATCTTGAGCTAATGTTCGTATTCCCTAAAACTAGAACATCCCATATCCTTAACAATTTGTGAACAGTAATCTAATCTAAGTCTATCACTACTCCTCTTAATTCCTGTTTCTGCTTCTAATATGTCCCTAACTAGCCCTTTATGCCTCAGAAGGTGTCCTATCAACTTATTTTGTCTATTATTGGCCCTATTGTTCTATTCTTTCTAAAACCTCTTCATTTCTAACTTTCTCTATTCACAGCGTCCTCATTATTCGCTTGTACACCACGTATTGAAGGCGTGTAATTTTTTCACAGGGCCTACCGTCCATGTTTTGCACCCGTACAGAACCATGGTCTGCACATACAACCGTTAATAATTTTCCTCGAATTTGTACGTTAATTTAACCGTTTGCGAGCATTGGACAAAGTTAGCATATTTCAGAAACTATATCTGTAATTGGTTCCCAAGGACTTTAGGAGACAATTATGTACAAAATTAGACACCACGGTAATACATGACTATGAATGAATGATACATTTGGTACCCCATCTTCTTAAAATAATAATTAACAGCGATCGCGTGCTCATCTTTGTAATGGATACTACCACATGTGAATATACCTCAGCATCCCCAAATGCTTAGTTGTTTAGAGCCCTAAGTACGCTCCTAGTAATGACGTTACGTACAGACGAAACCGCTCCCTTCCCATGTATGAAATCAGGATAGGACCAATTTTGGTCCAAGCTTGGATTAAGATTGTTCAATTCTGATACGAAATTAGCAACCAATTTTGGACTAAACACGACAAATGGCTGGTTTGTCACTTCCGCTCAAGCCTAGTTGGCAACCTTGGTCCACGACTGAAAAGCTAGTGCTGAACCAAAGCTTGGTAAACAATACTAACTCATGATTGGCGAAAGATTAATGTGCCTACCCTTGGCATTTGATAATTGCCCAAACTTTGGGCCAGTATTGAACCAAACTTAGCTTTGGCTTTTCCAGATTGGCCGAACTTTGAATCATTATTGACAAATCTATGCTTGGTTTCCCACTATATACTAGTCCAGGTTTGAACCTATTGTCAAGTCCGGCATTTCCTACATGGGCAATTGTAATCAACCTAATCACTAAACGGAAAATTTAAATTAGTCTAGTTAGTAAATAATTTGTTTGAAATCAAATAGTTGTTGAATTTCGTCAACTTTCTTAGTAATAAATCAAGCATTTTAAAACCCATAAGTTTAAAATTAAATGCAATGGTAATTATGATTGACATGGGGTTACCAAAAGGCAATATACAAACTAAAAATTGATTTTCATCACGCTAAGGTCGAATTAATAAACCATGTGTCCGAAGATATGTGTATAAAAAAAGTTATATAAGTATTAAAAACGGAATTTGACACGTGCAGGATAATCAACAAGAAATAAAATTTTCCTAGAGCGTATGTTCGCAAAACAACAACAACATAATTTCGGATTTAAAAAAGAAATGTTTAAAAAGTTAAACAAATAAAAACAAGTAAAATTTACAAACTACTGACTAAAGCAAACGTCAACTCATTATTAAAGGGATTATTATTGTTTTTATGTTTTCTCTTTAACAACTGAGAATTTTTGACAATAAATTAATGAAATACGTGACAGATATAAACAAAATAAAATCTGTTGACATTCACAAACGCCTTGCCTTTAAGCCATAAAATGTTATAAAAAAATGCTTTCTACAGTGATCAAGGTCTTAATTAATACCAAACCAAATGTAAGGTTTTGGTACTCGACATTCCTCGGAAGTCTACGCTAATCGTTGTATTCGATAATTTTAGTTCTCGAAATTATCTTTGCAGCTCCTTAGGATACTAAAAAAAAGATGATTTAGCTAGATAACGATAACAGCCTAAAGGGTAAGACGTTATATTGTGACTGGGCGAAAGTTAGAGGGGGCTTAACTGATGGTCCATGGTAATGCAGTAAGTATATTTTGAAAATGATTTGTGTAAAATTGGAAAAGGTTATTTTTCATTGTATTTATCATTTTGACCATCTGGATAAGCGCGGTTTCATCGATATTTTTTAATTAAACTTTCAGGGTAGATTTACAGCAATATAAGGTCAGTTTTGGGTGAATGAATCTACGTTTCAACGTCTTAAGTTGTCAGTGCAGGGTGGGCGTTAAAATTTGAAAAAATATTATTGATTTTAGCATAGAAAATGATTAATCATAGTGTAATAAGAATCATGAAAGCATAGGACAAAAGTAACATAACGTTTTCACAATAGTTTGAAGACCTGTAATGGTCATCTTAAGTGTTGATACGTACATAAATTCCTCTAGTTAAAACTGGCATTAAATTAATATAAATTTACCCTGAAAGTATGGTTAAGAGATATAGGTGGAACATCAACCATCCAAATGGTTAAAAATCGCATTTTCTATACTCATGTCATGCTTTACCAACTTTACACCTAGTACATCACCATGGGCCATCCATTGAGTCTACATTGAACCTTCGTCCAGCCACAATCACATATGACTTCATACCTTTTTTACGTTTATAGAGTGGCTATATTGAGTCAAGTATTTCCCGGAATCAGAAACGACGCCAAATGACTTCTTGTCACATTCCGATTTCATGTAACAGGCTACTCTTACAATTCGTTGATGTGACAAGTTTCATCATCCGTTTAAAAGTTGACCGCTCACAACGGAAGCCGGGAGTCAGTAGAAGCTATCGACTTTTGTTACCAAAATTACCGAATCATAGAGAAACATTTAGGAACTTTGTGAAACAGTTTTGAGGAAGAAGCAACATCAACGCAGAAGTTTGTCGATATTTCTCTAGAGGAATAAACCTAACAGTTTAAGAATGACAAGCATTCTACAGAGCCCCCTGAGCTTTCGCGCATTTTTAGAAGCGAAAGCTCTATTCCAGCTGATCATGACGCCCATATACAACTGCTTATGGCATCTTACCCTTTGTACTTATATGGAATGGCTATATATTGAGTGAGGTTGCTCCCAGAATTAGAAAGGACAAAAATTAGAAAGACTTCTTGTCATATTACGATTCTATGCACAGGTTACGCGTACAATTCGTTGATGTTTTATCGGGGTAGTAACTCTCACTTTTGTCAGGTACCAAAATATGAAGAAAAACATTTAGAAATTTCGTTAAACATTTCTGGGGAACTAGCAACATAAACGCAAAAGTATCTCAATGCTTTTCCGGTGGAGACCTAGCAGCCTAAGAATGACGAACAACGTTCGAGAGTACGTTTCGCCCAGAACCAGAGCTTTACGCATTTGTGAAAGCGAAAGCTCTGTCTCTGCTCATCATGATGCCACAGCCCAACTGACGGGCTAGCTGATCTATGTATACCATATATGCAATTCTATTCACTATTAGATCGTAGTTGTTTCACTTCCGTTGCTGCTCTGTTTATAAACATGACTATGAAAATCAGCTGTAAAAATATTTCATTGTCTCTGCCAACATCCATACGAAACTCAATTATGTACACACACGTACATACATAAGCATATATACATGCATATATGAGTCAGCGCCAGTTCTCTGCTGCTGCTGTTAACAAGTTGGCTACGTCAAAGGATCTCGACACTTTTAATCGCCAACAAACTTAGGTACGAAGAACACTCGCGTGTCGATCGACGCTCAGTGCGGACGTCAAATTTTTTTACTGCTCTTTTGCTCTATATGTTCTTCATATTATCACTTGTACACAAGTACATACACATATAAATGTAGGTTGAAAAACAAAAATAAATTTACTTTAACTATTAGATAGTTGCACTATATACTTTTAAGGCTGAAGTGATTGTTGTTGTAGTAGAGATTATTTTTACGTTAAACAACACCAGACACAGTACAACGGTGTGCAAATTTGGCGTACATCAAGGATAAGGTGTTTGGAAGACGAAAAGATTATTTAATTAAGGGCATCGCATCACGTAAGTCACAAAGTTTCTCGTTTATCATCATAACAAATAATAAATAATGAAATCTGCTGATTAAAATGTTGATTCTTTGTGAAACAATTCACCTACAATAGATTAAAAAAAATGAAGTAAAGTACCATTTAAATAATAATCTTTGGATGGTTTTTATTAAATTCATTAGCGGTTTGGTTTACTAATCGTAATCTTTAAAGCCAGTAAGTACTATTGTAGAATTTATTTAACTAACCGATCTATAAACGATAAAAATTAATAGAAAATTTGTCGACAATTTTACATACGAATGTGAATAGCAATTTGAAAATTATATCAATTGATAAAAATTTTAATTACTTTTAGCAAGAGTTTATTTGTAAAAATTTACTTTTAAACAAATTAAAACTATAATTATGTCAAAAAATGGGTAAATTTATGTGATACTTGAATGTCATTTTTGTAATTTAGGTGGTGAATTTCTGATAATAAATTCTTAAATTTATAGAAAATGTGAATGCCGTTCTGTTACCTACCATGTAGTTTTTAATTATTTGTTATATTTGTGATTTTTTGAAGTGAAACTTCTTTACGCACGATAGGGTAAGTTCGTTTCATGCCAGTTGCTATGTAACGAAATCATGCAACGGATGTCTCGTAGTGGGGATCGCTTGAGCGGTGAGTGCGCTTCAGTGCAACGTTCGTTACAGGCAACTCATAGTGTACAAATATTATCATTAAACCAATTCCTTAACCCCTATCCTGCTATTTTTGTGTGTTTGAAGAAGTTTTACTTCAGTGGCGTGTTGTATGATTACACGTTGTATTTTTTATTAATTGATTAGAATTGTGTTGGTTAAGTATTTTCTTAAAATAACCAATCTATTCGCTGTTTCTTCCCCTAATTCAATATATGATAAAAGAATCAAAGCCCAAGAGGATAATAATGTGTTTATTCGATGTCGGTTCTATAATCGAATAAACACATTATTACCCTCTTTGGCCTTGATTATTTTTTCAATTAAAATAACTATTTCTGATAATTAAGAATTACACTACAATTTATCACTGCAATCACTACATTTTATTGCTAATTGAATAATTTACCTTGATAAAGACTTAAAATGAAAGACGAAACGTCAGTTTTGGTTACATAATTAATAAAAAACATTTTCACTTCTTAATTGCTTTCAATTGTTGCAAATTCTGGAAAACATTGTTTCCATCTTATTGATAAAAATTAATTTTGCATTTCGTAGATTTTTCATTGTGGAAAGTTGGAAAACATTGAAATTGCTACACAGTGAAAAGACACTATTCAACATTTCTTGATGCAAGAATAAAATTTCGTGCATTTGTTTTTATTTACTGTAATAATACCAAACGTAAATTAATATATTTCAATGTATTTAATATAAAGTGTTTAATGCCCTGCGCCTCCACCAGTTTATTTATCCGTTTGTATTTATTTTAATTAATTAATTATAACAATTTTTATAAAATATCCTAATATTATAATTGCAGCCACATATGTACCTCTTTATTTCTAGAAAAAATTTATGGGGTTTCTAGCACCAATTTAAATAGGTACTAATCTATTTGATACTGCGATATATTATTCAGGAATTGTCGAAGGTTTTACTATTTAATAATAATAGAAACGGAGTCATATAATCATCACAACTACAATTGGTATATTGCGATAGTGTTTAATAAATATTACAATTTTATTGATAAAATGCGCGTATATATTTGAACAATTAGGTACTAGTGATCGTGAGGTTCGTTGACTTGGAAAAAATTTATAGAATAATTCAATTATTTGTTATACACAATACACACAAAACGAAATCCTTTTCGACAATTAAAAAAGTAAATTCAATATCTCTTTGGATTTTTCGTTTTGGTCATTACGATTTTAAAAAGACAAAAAGGTAATATTTTTTTCATGTTTTTGTCACATGTACTTATGCAGTATTCTCATCGAAAAAATTAATCAAGTACGCCATGGAGAGCTTTTTGCAACACTTATTTATGTTTATCTCATGCTGAGTGTACACTTAATTACCACACTTTGTAAATGACAAGATTCTCTTGGAGAATCTCGTTTTAAAAATCAGGTGTTTCGGCCCAATGAAAATTCCACGAAATTGAGTCAATTTCTCACAATGAATACATTTACATACCAAACTGGTTCCTTCTATATCACAAAAAGATTACGAAAATATTTGCGAATTGCAAAGAAATTAATAATCCAACTCCGGTTTAAAGTATAAACATTTTATTGGTAAAATAAATTTCAGTTATAGATCTCTTTCGAATTGCTATTAATTATATAGATTGTTAGTTTTAGCGGGTTATTACATTGTTTTCCAAAGGCAACAGCACTTTATCGATGTTACTATTCAGTCGAAACGGTAGAATTAAGTCTAGGGTCTAGAATCCTCGATTTGCGGGAATTTTAGAATTTATGATCATAAAATCATCAGAAAGAGGCGCTACATTGAATACGTATTAAAACTTGTTAATAATAATATATCAGTTAGATCCATTGAATGCGATACTATCTTTAATTTAACAGAATACCAGAAATCTCAAAACAAAACCATTAGCATGAACGATAAGGGTAGACTACAGGAACAACTGTACCGGTTCTGGACGATATGTAGTATTTCCTTTAAAACTACGTATAATGATTAATTTTGAGAACCCATATGGGAATCAGAGTACACGTATTTTTATGACAACGCAAAAATTACAATTTTCGATTATAAATGACTGAATTTGCCGTAGAAATAGCAGATTTTTTTAGGTAACTTTAGGTAAATCTCAATTTTGACATGTTTCTTTAAAAATTATTTCAAGTTTCTTAATTATTACAATTAAATTTTTAATATCAACTGAAATACCTAGTAAATTTATTTCTGTTGGGATTTTATTTTTACAAATTCGGGTCCAAATTGTAATTTTTATTATTTTCGCCTAAGAAGCAACGGGCTAGTGAGATAAATTGTAAATATCGCTCTAATATTTAGGTAAATTTTCGTTTTTCATTTTCTCCGTGTAACAGTATACAACATTTCTGTAGCAAAATTGTATGTTTCTTAACAAGTTACAAACCTTGACTTTGATTTCTATCTCAATAATATCTCGAGAAAAGGATTAAAACATGGATCAAAATTAGTAATATCTTTTTGTAGGTTCGTTTTTAACATTGAGAAAAGGTCCCCAAATTGTACTTGTATCTATTAGGACTCCTGTTTGACGTGAAACAGTTTCATATTATTGCGCCCCAATTAACATTAACTCCTTTAAAATTGTATTTTTAGCAAAATGCTGACGTGGAGTTTACCGTTACTTCTTAAGAAAGCTGCATATTCTTAGTTCTTTATTTAAGTTTAATTTTAGCCCGTATTGGAATGCGATGCCCTCTATTTTTAGAAAATTCATAAATCATAGTAACGGAATTTGCAGGTCGGAATAAGAACTGATTTGAATGGGCTCCACTTATAGGTAATCGACGCATTCTCATTTGCTACTCCGTTTCTCACGTCGTGCAACTAAACTTGAGATTGTTCATTTAACAATTCGTTTTCGATTGCATTTCGTAGTAATTGGTTAACACTTTTATAAGGAAACCAATTAGAATAATGCAATTGCGTTGCGTTAATGTTTTAAATAAGTATACCATCAGGTAATTGTTTTCCTTAATGAGGCACTGTCAAATACCACTAATTAACAAAGTTGGAGTTGGTTTTGCAGTCTTGAAGGAAAAGAAGAACGTATGGCTTCTGAACGATTCACTTTTCATCCTTATATGCATAGGTATTCATTCAAATCCTTAATTTCATCAAATCCCTCCAACACATCCATCAAGTTACAAGTTTTATAACCTCCTACCCTAAACTTTGCAATTACGTCTAAGTCTTTTTCTTCCATTTCACTTACCCTGGCTCACTTTCACCCTACCAATGTTTTCATGTATTTCACATACTTCGATTTGTCAATTTTTCTCAAATTATGTCAGGACATTTTGTTTTCACCATTTTTCCTCCACAAATATCAACCTTCATCCATTCATTTAATTGTTCCCAGTTCAGCTTTAATTCCCTTAATGCTTAGTCCCTTATTACAATTTTTAGTTATTATCGATAGTTTGAATCGAAAATGGCAAATAAAGTGTAAAATTAAAACCAACTTGTTTGGTAAATTAAATTTTTGAATGCGTTTTGCGGTGGAGATTTTAAACAAAACATTTTAATTCTGCAGTAATTTAAAATATTAAACTTTTTACGAATTAAGTACATATTTTAGTAATCTCTGAAGATTCAAAATAAATTTATTTGCTGATTGAATAATTTGGTTGAATTGTCAATGTGGCATTTTCTATTTCTATAAATAACACTAGGCTGTTTTCATACATAATTAAGTAGTATTATAGTTTTATTAACATTCAGTGTGTACGTAAGTACGTACGGTATTTTAAGCAACTGACAATAACTGTCCTAAAAATAGAAATTTGTTTAAATGCATAGTTTTTTTAGTCTTTACAATTTGAAATAATGCAAATTAAGTTATTTACAGAAATGATGCATTTGCATGACTGAACGACTGAAGATTTCTCTTTTTGTTTTTCGAATCAGCTGTTCGTGGAAGATAAGTACGGTTCAAACATGTCAGTTATATTTTTAAATACGAACTGTGGTGACTTTACTCCAAATATAATCCGAAATTAACGTTTTTTTATTATCTTTTTTATATTTACGTTACAATTACGAAACATACTACTTTAGTCAAGCATCTAATTAAAATGCCAAGGATTAACTTAATAGGTCAAGATGATTTCTAAAATACTGTTACGGTTTTTGTTTAAATTCAGGAGCTCGATTTTATAGCTTTTGACGTTCAATTGTCGATCGTAAGTATTGAAAACAATAGCGAAAATAAACATTAAGAAAAATCCAAAAAAAGAGAATGCCTGTAAATCTCAAGTCGTTTATACTGTTAAAATTTTTTGTTGTATTATTTGAAGTTGAAAGAACCTATTACAGATTTAAAGAAACTGATGAATTTACATTTACGTTTAAAAGGAAATTCATACGTTTCAAAGAAAATTCAATTTCGATTTCTCAAAATAGTAAAGCAAAAACCAAACAAATTCAATGCCTTATTATTGCTTATGTATGCATTTAACATTGTATAAGATCATTCATTAGTAAGTCACTTTCTGTGTCACAACCTGTAAGGTCACACAGTTTTCTTTTGGAATTGCTTGTCAACGATGCTTAACACAGCACAATAATAAATTGTGTTTGCCCCACATTTTGTACTGATCAAAATTTAAAATTTGTGTAAACTTTGGATCGTGTACAGATTATTAAAATAATAGAGCGCCTAGAAGCTTACTTCAATACTATAGCGAAGATTTTGAAGTCAACACAACAAAACGTCATAACTTAGAATTCTTCGCGCGCGGATGTATGAATTTTTTAAAATCTAGAACATGCACAAGAACCAAATAGTAATTTTCTCGCTCTTACGTCATTGATCAGTAATCAACCGTTTTAGACAAGAAATAAAATACGTTGATTCTTCTTAGTTTAAAGTATTTATAACATCTATGATTGCTTATCACATCTATCGAATTCTAAGATTTTATTCCAACACAATGGGAACAGGGCGACTACCTTTCATAGCCACAGAACGAAAATAATATGCAAAAGGATCGTTAATTGTAGCCTGCTTTTTAAATAAGTTCAATGTCAAGGGAGCCATAAAACAATTACTGTTTCTTTTAATAACATCACGCAGCATCGCTAGTGAACATCTGTCAAAGAGAAAAATAATAGGGCGCCTGCACAATGTAAATTAATTCGATTAGTTTACACTTCCAATGACCACGACCGTCTTGTCTGTCTGTCGGACGGTTGGTTTTGGTTTGTTCTAATTTCGATGTACTACAGTGTGTGTGACAGGCGTCTTTTATTGGGTTAATGTGATGTCTGTAAATCTGACCCAAATGTTCGAAAAATCAATTGTCAGCAAGATATGTGTATGGCGTTACTCTTTCTTATTTACGGCCGCATGTAAATTGTGCCATCCCCCAAAAGCGCCTCCATGAGACCCCAATAAGAAAGACCCCGATTGCGTCCACCAATGGGACCCCATTAAGACGATATATAAGCAAACATCGTGTTTTGCACCGTCTGTTTGTTGTTTAACATATGTAAAAATACTTCTCTGGTAACAATGTGGGTCAATGCGATTAAATAATCTTAATGCTACCAAGAATTTTATTATGGTACTAATTTTTTCGTTGTGAATTTGAATTGTAAATATGTCACACTTTTATTTAATCTCCAATTTAATCCTCTTATTAATTAACGAACGTCTCTGCCATTAGAGCAATTAGTATTTTGCGGTTTATTTCTTAGTGGACACTTGTTTATAAATGCGACCGTTTACATCATTAACATAAAAAAGTAATGATTATATGAAAAATAGGTATTTGCAACATTTTCTTCAACTAACAACACTTTAAAGACGGTTTTATGGTCAAAAGGCTCAATTTTAGGCAATACTTTTTTGTGCATTCAAGTGAACTAATCTTTACCACTACAGATAACTTTAAATTAATGGGGGAAAAATTATTGCGGCTGTCATCCCTCGCCGGGAATTGAACCCGGCATTACGTACAATTCTCTACCACTGAGTTACGAGCCTCATTAATTTGAAATTATATACAGTGGTAAAAGTTAATTCAAAAATTCACTTTAAAGAATTGAAAACCCTTCAAAAATCCTTCTAAAATTTTCATTGTTAATAATCATACATTGGTTTCCTGACCTAAGGTTATCTGTACCAATTGATCCACTTTAATTTATTGAAACCTCTTTAAAAATTCTTCTAAAATTCTCACTTTTTTTTATCGTTTTACGAGAATTTTTTTCATTTAGAGAGGCTCTTTGCCGTCTTCACCAGAATAGCAACTAGTGGATTTCAGTAGTTCTACAAATCACATGTTATCGTCGATTTAACAAACTATTACAATGAACTGTGTAAATACGAATCAGTAACAAAGTAATATTACATAATTAATGTTATTGCATTTTTACGCTTTAACCAACCGCGTAGTCGCAATGCATTTGCGGTAGCATAAAACTACCATAACTGTTAAATGCCTAATAACATTAAAATCTATTTTATGAAACGTGTTTAAAGTCCACTTTATTGCTGATGATGACAAGCACTCGTGTTTAACAATTATTACCAAGATAGGTACAATCCACTACAGAACTTTATGTAGCAATTGTACGTAAACAACGACGTAATTCTAGACGGTTTCATTGAAATAGAGTGAGTTAAATTAGAAATTTGTAAAATAATTTGGATATATAAAATTTGGAATAATTTAGTTTACAATCACAACTTATTTTGAAAAATCTTACTGAAATTTATATCTCTTTACAGGGGATGGAGATAAGGCAGTGTATTTTATTTTTGATCTCTTCAGCACTCTTAGCTTTAGTGTCTGCACAGTTTAGTTTTACGGGTGATCTTCCACCGGGACCATACTGCCCCATGGTTGGATGTTGCGGCGGTCGTAAGGATGAATGTTCTAAACCTATTGTAGGTAAGCCCAGGACCTTTTATCAATATAGGACTGCATTTAAAAACAAAATTAAACTTACACGCTCTATAGATACAATAAACACGTAAAACCCTAAAATTCCATAAAACTTCCGAGGCAATCTAGCTAAGGATGACACTTTAGGCGTCGAAGCGCGTTTTAAGGTCTTAAGTGTTTACTAAGTTACGTTCTACAGCACTCAGCTATATTTTGTGTACGAGGTCTATTCAAAAAGTATTGCCAATTTTGAATTTCCGCGGGTTACATGTATAATATTCGATTTTCGATTTTTTTGAGATGTTATGTTGGTACTCATGTCTCTCACTTATACCCACAAGTTAGGTCATGTTGAATATTCAGTTAATTTTTGATAGCTGCTTTGCTCTCATGTGTTTTGGCTCGTCATCAATTTTTGCCTATTCCAAAAAATGGGTCAAAGAATCTGTATCAAATTTTGGGTGAAAAACAAAATAATACGCGCAGATGCATTCCAAATGTTAATTGTGGCATATGGTGAAGCTACCTTGGACCGAAGCAACGCTTATCGGTGGTACAAAATGTTCTCAGAGGGCCGAAAAGATGTGAACGACGAAGAGCGTGCTGGACGCTCGAGCACGTCAGCAATAGACGAAAAAATTGATGAAGTGAAGAAAATAGTATTGGCCAATCGTCGAATCACCGTTAGAGAAGTTGCTGAGGGCCTAACCATATCGATTAGCTTCTGCCATTCGATTTTTACCAATGATTTGGGCATGAGACAGCTGTTGGATTCTGTCCGCGACGACCCAAATTTGCTCCAGAGGGTCATAACTGGTGACGAATCATGGGTTTATGGTTATGACGTGGAAACCAAAACTGAATCATCCCAATGGAGCCAAGACCGAAAATGCGCGCCAAATTAGATCGAATGTGAAGGTTTTGCTTACAGTTTTCTTCGACTGCAGGGGCGTGGCGAATCATGAGTTCTTGCCACAGGGTAGAACGGTCAGTAAGAAATATTACCTGCAAGTTATGCGCCATTTGCGCGAAGCAATCCGCCAGAAATGCCTGGATTTGCGGAACAACAAAAATTGGCTTTTGCACCATGATAACGCCCCTGTTCACATATCGTTGCTTGTGCGTGAATTTTTGGCCAAACACAAAACATACTAATAATGCTGCAACCACCGCATTCCCCACATCTGCTCCCCTGTGACTTTTTCTTGTTCCCGAAATTGAAGAGTCTTATGACAGGACGACACTACGCTACGGTTGCGGAAATAAAGACAGCATCGAAGGAGGAGCTCAACAAGATCACAAAAAATGATTTTTTGAAGTGCTTCGAGGATTGGAAAAAACGTTGGCACAAGTGTATAATATCTGGTGGCGATTACTTTGAAGGGGACAAAATAAATATTCATGAATAAATAAATAATTTTTGAAAAAACAAAATTCACGATACTTTTTGAATAGACCACGTATGTTGTATACAAGTCGAAAATGATTTAAAGAATTAATAAAATATATGTGTTCTGTTTAACACTTGTGGATTTTTAATTTGATAAGAACATTCATTTTTTTTTTATTTGATTCTCTTTAGGAACCCTATGCTATTGTGACGATTTTTGCGAAAATCGCACTCACTATTTACACCCCGATGTCACTAACAATGATTGCTGTCCTGATTATTATTCCTTCTGTAAGGGTATTATTCCACCACCAGAGGAAATATTCGCACCTGAGTGTAAATTTAATGGAAGAAAGGTTCAATGGCGTAACAGCGTAAAAAGCAATTGCAATCTCTGGTAGGTCAATTAAAACTTAACGGTTTCGTTTTTGCAATCAGACAACAGAATGTTCATTTATAAAAAGTGAATTTAATGTATGCGTTCTTCTTGTTTGAATGTTAACTGGCCCAGATTTGAACCCCTTTAATTGTATACTTTTTCAGAGTTGTTATTCTAGAGATGAAGATATTAAATCACTTGTATTTAATCTTGACTTTTCTTAATTGATATTTAAATAATTTAAAAGAATTCATTATTAGAATAAAAATTATCATAAATATCCATTGTAAACATTAGTTAAAGTTACTTTGTATGAAGACAAATATCGATGCTGAAAAAATTATCGTTCGTATTTCCTGATTAATATGTCATTTAATTTTTACCCGGAAAAGCAGTTTGCGAAGCATGGGCATTAAATTAAAACTGTAATTCGTATTTTTATTTTTCAACTTTGACTGAGTCACTATTGTTTGTAGAAAAACAGTTATAATATAATCTGGGAAAACATAATAACTAGGTACTTTTAAAAAAATGAAATTCATCTTAATTTGTATGAAAATGTCACATTATAATATTTTCAGTAAATGTGAAAAAGTTGGACAGAACAATTTTGAAATGCTGTGTGAAACTGACGTTTGTATAGTGGAATCTGATATTCTCGACACTGTAAATTCAGATAGTCGACGTTATGGATGGGCAGCATCCAATTACTCAGAGTTCTGGGGACACAAACTTGCTGAAGGAATTGCGAAAAGGTGAAATAAGTTTAAATCTGTAGGTAAATCTTTAAAATATTTTACATGACAAAAGCAACTACATAAACCACGATTACCGAAGCATTTTCTATAGCTTGGATAAAGTCCTTGTACAAAGGAAATGGAAAACTTTGAAAACAAATATGTTGAGTTTTATTATTCGTTAACTCTCAGGAACGGTATTTTTTCTGGATAAAAGATACCCTATGTCCTTTTCTGTAAACCGTACAATGTGTGTATAAAATTTCTTGATAGGTTTTACCTGCGGCTTCGCCCACGTAAATGTTCTAAATACTGTCAAAAATCATCGACGGCCACATAAAACTAATTTTTCTATCCCTAGGAATAGTATTTTTTTCTGGATAAGAGATACTATATATCCGTTTCTGTACTCTTGGTAATCTGTGTACAAAATTTCATGATGATCGCTTGAGTAGTTAAGACGTAAAATTGTAGTAGACAAACATTTATCATTGACAAAAAATATAAACATATCAGAAAAAAGTGGTTTCGATTCGATAATGAGTCATGTTTTACTAACAATGAGAATAAGAATTTTCTATAGCATCTTTCGTAGATCTAGAAAAATAACGAAAATTTTCACACAGACTTGGAACCTTAGAACCTCACAGATTCGTGAAGCACATGGTTCCATTGAGAAAACATTACGACCCCAACTCATTGCCTCGCAATTTTGATGCGGAGCGGGAATGGCCCGGAAAGATTTCAGACATTCGGGACCAAGGATGGTGCGCATCGTCATGGGCCATTTCTACAGCAGCCGTTGCATCTGACAGGTACATTTTAACATAATTTTAAAAAAATAAACATTCTCTAATAAAATCCCATTCCCTCAGGTTTGCTATCGTTTCAAAAGGGGACGAAGCCGTTAGCCTTAGTCCCCAGTATCTCATTTCCTGCAACAACAGGGGACAGCGAAGCTGCGAAGGGGGACATCTAGATAAAGCGTGGCTGTTTTTCAGGAAATTTGGGTCAGTCTAATAAAATACTTTAATAGCGATTAATATTAATGTAAAAATTCATTTAATTTTTATCCACTACAAATTATCTGAAACTAATGAGAAAAATTGTTGCTGCTATTCGTTCTGCTATTGGTGCGTAAAACCAAAGGTCTCGTGTTCGATTCCCGGCGAGGATGTGACAGCCGTAACAATTTTTTGTCATTAATTTGAGATAATTTGTAATAGATAAAAATTAATTGAATTTTCACGTCAATATTCAGTCTAATTAATGACTTTCAAGTCTGTTATTCTGTTACTTATTGATCCTCTCTCACAGTATCGTTGATGAAAACTGTTTTCCCTACACTGGTCAAGAAGAAACATGTCGATTTCCTAGGAAGTATAATTTGATCCAGTCGGGATGCGTCCCACCGTTCGGTGTGAACCGAAAAGAAAAGTACAAAGTAGCACCTGCTTACCGTTTGAGAAATGAAACTGACATTATGAATGATATAATAAAATCGGGACCTGTTCAAGGTAAGTGGAAGTCTATTAATATTTAATACATCTTGCGGTAGTACAGACGACAGATGTAAAATTCTAATTTCAAAATGTTTGAATTGTGATGTCATGTATTTTAATACGTTTGAAAACATGCTGATTTCGTAATTAAATTCTCAAAACAAATATGAATATTTTTATCACGTTTCAAAAAAATTAATTTTAGATATGCTATTCTAATTTTGTATAGCCACCTATGAATGAATGCTCTTTTTAGCAACCATGAAAGTATACCACGACTTCTTTTTGTACAAAAGTGGAATATATAGGCACACCGACTTATCTTCCCAAGACAGAACTGGATACCATTCAGTTAAGATAATAGGATGGGGAGATGAGTATACTGAAAATGGCGTCGAAAAATACTGGGTAAGAACTGACTATTTCTATCGTTCACTTTATTGGATCCAATTTTAAAAAAAAAACACATTTGAAATATTACCTTTGCGAGATGCGGAAGTTCCGCCGCGAAACACAAGATTGGCGTTAATAAAAACGCAGTTTACGTTTACGTATTATATTGCAATAAGCGCTTGGGCGAGATGCGGAAGTTCCGCCGCGGAACACAAGATTGGCGTTAATAAAAACGCAGTTTACGTTTACGTATTATAATGCAAGAGGCGCCAAGTTTCCCGTAAGACATAACTAAATGTCTGTCTTATAAAAACGCATAATTGAAGGGAAATAACAAATAACTCATTCGTGTGTCTGTACATTTGTCACAGACTTGTTATTTTGCACACAATAAATGAAGTATGCAAAATACTTTTCTTTCAAAAGAAAACATTAAACATATTTAAATACTAAGCATAGTTTATCTACGCTTTTTTTTGTTACAGAAAGTGGCAAACAGCTGGGGGAGAGCATGGGGTGAAAATGGCTATTTCAGAATTATTAGAGGTGTCAACGAATGTGACATCGAATCGTTTGTATTAGGAGCTTGGCCATTAACAGTGGATCCGAATACAAAAAATGACGTGTTGAAAAAGAAAAAATAGTTCCTCAAAAATGGTTACCTATTTGAAATGAGTGCCATGAAAGATAAAAAAAAAATAAATATATATACTGCCGAAAATACTTATTAATACGAAAATTTATAACTGCCATTGCTCGTGTTCTCTGACAACTATAGCGTGTTGAAATTAAAATTTTTATTTATATGAGAGAAGGAGAAAAGGAGAAAGAAACAAAAAGCATCGTTATAAAGTATACTGTGTTTTAAAATATGTACCAGATTGGAAAAATTGGATGTAAATTAAAATTTTTGAACCTGACCGACAATCAAACTTATCGTTATTTGACTGAAAGCATGTTTGTATTGTTGTTTTTGTTTTCATTAGAAATGTATTTGCGGCACAATATAATAAGCGAAACAATATTATTTAATTAAAATGCAGGCTTATGATTATAAAATTATAATTACATGTATGAATACCATACATGATCTTGGAATAAATTAGTAGTATTTTATATTATTATGTATGTACTTAGATTTAGATATTTATATGTAGGCTACGCAAACCTATTTAAATGTGCTTTACCACATATTTAATAAACTACTATTTTCAACAAGCGTTTATTTATTTGTTTCACTGCTGAAGTACGTAAATGGTATGTATTTTTAATTTGAAGAGTTGAAGTTTTCATGTTTTCAGTTTTTAATGAAAATCTGAACTGTTAATCGATACATCGAATTATTCGTCTGTAATATATAAATACTGCCTTCATTTAAGCTCATGCAGTACTTCGTAATCGTAATCATTTTTGCTTGGTTGTCTAATCATTGAAACGATTAAATCGATATCGATGAGATTTAAATATAAACACATGAAAAGGGGATTGCCAGGAGTAATATAGGCTGCTTTTTGTCTGTCTGTATGGCTGTTTGCATTCACTAATCTTCGAAACGGCTGAAGCCTTTTTGATGGGACTTTCTTCACACAAACGAAGTCGCCATTAAAAGCTAAACCTCAAACTGTTTGCGAAAAATAATCTAGTCTAAGTGTACCTCTACCCTCGTAACTTCTGTTCGTGCTTCTAATATGTCTTTAACCAACCCTTTATGTCTTATCAACCTAACTTCCCTATCTCCTATTGGCTTCTATAACGTCTTCTGTTCTCCTACTCTTTCTAAAAACTAGCAGTAAACAAATTTTACACCAATGCAAGGATACAAAGTCAAGTTTTTTTGTACTTATTTAGTAGTGCATATGCGAATGTAAGTTTGTTAGCTTGTTTTCGAGTTTTTCACGTCTTAAGTACTCAACCGAACATTATGAATCTAAAAAAGAATACTTTTCCCAAGGGATAGAAAAATTCACTTATGTGGTCGTCGATGATCTTTGACACGTAATTAGGACAACAACGCGAGCGAAGCCGCGAGAAAACCTGTCAAGAAATTTTTTACACATTGTCAAGGGTACAGAAAAGAACATCATCAAAGGGTCGTCAGTCCTAAGACTGGTTGGACACGCACATCTACTCTTTACTATCCTGAGCTAATCTTCGCATATCCATAAAACAAACACAACCCACATCCTTAACTATTTGCGAACAGNCAGGAGTTAGGAGGGGTAGAGGTAGACCTAGATTAGATTACTGTTCGCAAATAGTTAAGGATGTGGGCTGTTCTAGTTTTGCGAAGATTAGCTTAGGATAAGAATGAGTGGAGATGCGTGTCCAACCAGTCTTAGGACTGACGACCTTATGATGATGATGATGACTCGGCGGATCCGGGACTTTTGTTAGAATCCGGCCAGGTATGGGATAATGACTCCGGGTCACCCTAATAATGGTAAAGTATAACAGAAACTACCCATGAAAATTGGTAATTAAGATTGTTTTGGGATGTTTTGTATGGCCGAACTGTTAAGTACAATTTCTGTCGCTTATTGGTATAGCAAGTATTTGATTAACGATAAATTATCAATATAATTTTGTCATTTTGCAGATTTTTAGCGTTTCAACGGTTTCAACTTATTACTCTCCTTGAAAATCTGTCAATTAAGAATTAAAATTTAATTGGTGTCCCTCTAATCTAAATAGTAATAACCAATATTTTAGGTAATGCTACATATCATCCACAATTTGGTATTTAGGTCACTAATAGGTATAAAGTTAGTGCATACAACCAAATTATTAATTTGTTTAGAATTACAACCTAACAGACACCTACCATTATGGTCGAACGCAGGGGTTTTCATAAGGAATATTAAAAAAAAATTTGAAAATACTTTCAGAATTGCACACGTCCGAATCATGAAAAGAACTTCTCTTATATTCAGTATTTATAATTATTACAATTTTTGGTATATAAAAAATACAAATAAATTTTATTGCGACTGCAATATCAAATCAATTCTTCAATAGGACAGGACTGGTAGTAAATAGAAAGAATATTGTAAATGGATAAATATTGACTGATATGAAATGCCTACACATAAAATACAGGTAATTGAGGGAAAAAAACAGCTATTAGCGAGGGGTGATTGCAAAATGTGAAAAAATATTGAACTTACCAAAAATAAATAACGTTTAAGTACAAATATTTTATTTTGCGCCACATATTTAACACTATCAGTTTTGCCAGAGTAGTCAGGTCAAAAACTGAAATTTAAAAATTATTCATAAATATATGGCAATCTGTTTCATTACTCCTGGTCTTTTCGACTTTTTGGGCCCAGAATGAAAATGACCTTTGTAATTTTCAATTTTAAGCTGAAGCAGGTACAACTTTTATACAGCACATTCAACAGATGTTCTCTTAATAATTAGTTGTAGGTAGTATATAACAATTTAGACTCATTCCATCAACAAACTATTTAAAGTTACATGTAATTATGAAAACGTAAAATGTAAAATATGCGTAAATTTCTCACACATTTCGGGGAAGGGGGTTAGAACCCCCGAAACGCTCCCCTACGTTAAAGACTGCCTACCACTTGGTGAGTTAATTATCAATCTCATAAATTGTTGGGTTCAAAATCCCAACGCCAAAACACGACACTGTAATTGTCCGAAGCACTTTTCGGTAACAAGGTTACCTTCTTCAGGGTCTTGAATTCACTTCAGCAATTTTGTTTGTTCTATCCCCAACTACAAAATAATAATAATTAAGTTCATGTTTTTTAGGTTCTTATTCATAGTCCCCACAAAAGAGTAAGTGGTACATCTACGGGAAATATTATCATATCAGAATCTAATAAAGAAGTTTCAACGCTGAACATCAACCAAGCAGTAACTGCATTGGTTGCAGGGAAAATTATTCCCAATGAAAATAAAGACATTCTTCTAATAGGTGAGCAATTTAACAAAGTTAATGTTTACTTTTCTTTTGCAATCCTTTTTCTAAAATTTGATTTGCTTTATTTTATTCTATAACATTGAATGTTCCAACGACGGCAGTGAATAATGTTTCCTATTTATTTAAGCTTTCTACAAAAAATATATTAGAGGGAAAGCCGTTGTTGAGCTCGCCTATGATTGATACAAAACTAATATTTCGCGATTTTTTGAAAATATTGATCTATTGATACTAAACAGGTGTTTTCCAATTTTTAAAAACTTTTCATACTTGGTATTTAGTACTTACTCTAATCATTTAATGATAAGGATACTTTAGAATTCACTTGTAATGAACAGCAAGCAAAATTAAATGCAAGATGTGCACGCTATTTCGAGATACATTTCGGTTATAACATAACGAACTGTGAAAGGTTTTTGTCTCGCAAAGGGCGTATATAAATTTCCAAAAAGACAAGAAAAGATACTTTTATTTGACGATTTTTTTTCTTGTTTAACGATAAGTTTGAACAAACGTTTAAAAATCTGCTCTAGATTGGGGTATNTTATCTATTAATTTTAATCATTCCAAACTAAATTATCTACTTTTATAGTACATAAAATTGGCTCGTTATATTTATTCGTAATAAATTGTTGATTAAACGAATGCATCGAATTATAAGACGTTGTCACGTCAAAAATCAAAATGTAGCCCCTACCCCCGAACATGTTACCTTTTAGCAGGCAACTAAATGGATAGGCGAACTGTTTCTCCTGAGGGACGAATAGTCACAGCCTTTTAACGGGATTTGATGTGTTTATATTTTATAATAATATCTAAGATCTGAAAATAAAGTGTAATTAATGCGACCTCGATTACCTGGGCCGGCTGGGTACCAATTCGTCCCTTGTGTTTTCGTGACCTTTTCATAAATAATTATCGGGTGACAATTTGGCTTGGCTCGAAATCTCGTGCTCCTCATAGATTATAACACAATGCCTACTTAGTTATTTCCACGAATACCTAACTAAATTTCGCATAACGCCTTTTATGTAAGACAGGCGCCTTCACACAACGTATAAAAATAAAATCCCAATTTGGAAATCCGATATTGACAGCCAATTTCCTCGAAAACATCTACTTTTCTTGAATGAGTACACGCGAAAGCTTTCACCAAATATTTAATGACTATTAGCTTTATTGTGGTTTGTGTTTGCCATTAAAAACCCAAAACAAAAAAGGGATAATAAATACGAAATAAAATACTGCTTTTATGTTTAGTGCTTGCAATATTCTATTTTTGTTTGTCTGTTGATATCCACTATATAAAATATTTACCGTATTTACTGTCACGCAAAAGCATTTTTATATATTGATTTAAAAACGCAGTTTTTTAATATAAACGAATAAGCGAATACCTATAGTTAATTTAAAATAATTTAATCAACAATTTATTACGAATAAATATAACGAGCCAATTTTATGTACTATAAAAGTAGATAATTTAGTTTGGAATGATTAAAATTAATAGATAATTAATTAAATAATTAACTTTATTGAAGTTTCATGCGTATGTAATACTTGTGTATTTTTAATAAGACTAGTGTAATTCTGCGCGTAAATATCTAAATTAAAGATGGGCCTGGAACTGGATTTGGTTAGAAATGAAGAGGTATTGGAAAGAATAGGAGAACAGAGGACTCTACGGAAGTCAATAAAAAATAGGCGAGATAGGTTGGTAGGACACCTTCTCAGGCATGAAGGTTTAGTCAGAGACACATTAGAAGCAAAAACAGGAGTTAAGAGGGGTAGAGGTAGACCTAGATTAGATTACTGTTCGCAAATAGTTAAGGATGTGGGCTGTTCTAGTTTTAGGGAAAT